ATGCATTGTAGCCTCTCAGGCTTTCAGGGGAGATGCCGGCAAATCAGAGCAAGCGTTGCTTGCTCTGCGGACGCCATGGACACAACCTCGGGACTTGTGGTTTAGGTCGAAGGAGGTCTGTGCTTGGCAAGAAAGGATGTTGAGTGCATGCGCGTATTCCCACTTGCATGGCAGTGCACGCAGCTGCTTCGCTTTCAGCATCGCCAACCTGTCAGCCTAACCTCTAAAACCCTACTTGGAGGTTCATGGGACTTAGTAAGTAAAGTTATAAGCGCTTTCAGCATCGCCAACCTGTCAGCCTAACCTCTAAAACCCTACTGGGAGGTTCATGGGACTTAGTAAGTAAAGTTATAAGTAGCTTTATTGGGGTTATAAACAATTCTACGTCTAGTTACCTGACTTCTAGCTCCAATTACTAAGTCCCATGAACCTCTAAGTAAACCCTAAAGCTTAAACCCTCGATCCTTAATCCCTAAACCCCCACACATGCAAAATGCCTGGGGCACGTAGCCTTCTCGGACACAGTTTAGCTCGAAGCTAGCCAACTACTACAACTATCACTAGTAAAAATAGTAGTAGTAGTAGTAGTAGTAGTAGTAGTAGTGTTGGTGGTGGTGCTGCTGCTGCTGCTGCTGCTGCTGCTACCACTACGACTACTACTACTACTACTACTACTACTGCTGCTACTACTACTACTACTACTACTAGTTCCTGCATGAACCTCAAGGATAACTTTGCAAAAAACGCACGAATTGCAAAAAAACATCGTCCAAACCATACACATGGGAACCTTCGAAAACACTGGCAAGCGTGTCACTTTTGTTACTACAAGAGTGTGCGCGTGCTTTCAAATCAAGAAAAAAAGACACATCCGTAAAACGCATTTATCACTAAGAATGCTGGTATTCGTGGGATAAATGGACGATTTGGCGTGCAAAACCCACGGGGCCACCAGCGGCGGCGTGACCTTGCTTATGCTGTTGCTTTATGCTATTGCTAATGCTTATGCTGTTGCTGCTTTTGCGGTTGCAACTGTTGCTGCTGCTGTTGCTGGTGTTGTTGTTGTTGTTGCTGCTGCTGCTGCTGTTGATCTTCAGTTGCAGTTGCAGTTGCTGTTGTTGCTGTTGCGACAGTTGCTGCTGTTGCTGTCGTTGTTGTGGTAGTTGTTGTTACCGTTTTTGCTGTTGTTCTGGTGGTGGTGGTGGTGGTGGTGGTGGTGGTGGGGGCCGCGGTGGCGGTGGTAGTAGTTGTTGTTGCTGCTGCAGCTGTTGCTGTCGTAGTTGCCAGTAGAGCTTGAAGCAAGAATCCTGATGACGCCGATGTGAAGGGAAAACCGAGGCACCTCCGAGAGATAAACAGCCTCGTCGTCTTCTGGATCCTCACCGTGGTGTTTCGGACTTAGGGCGTGGAGAAGGCGACGGAAGGTGTCAAGTCAGATCCTCTTCTGGATGATCCTCTTCGAAGTAGTCTGCGCCGTTCTCCTCAGCCATGGCAGTGAGAGCTGCAGTCCATTCGCCCCGAACGGAGATTCTTCCGCGTTTCTGCGATGCCCATGCGATGGATTCTCCCACGTTACTGAGTCTTGTTGCATGCTGAGCATCCTCAAAGTGCTCGCTGTCGTCGTCATCACCTACATGTTGGAACTGTCTCACGAGTTTCCCGCCGTTGGAACACAGAAGGCCTTCATCGCCTTCAAGAAGTGCGGCTTGTTTCCGCACCTCGTGGTCAATATGTTCTATTCTGATGCAACATATCCGTGCTGGTTCACACAGGGTACCAACACAGCGCTGAATCGCAATCGGATCTGCCTAAACAAGGCTTGCTTTGCAGGTGAGAAGTGCTTCCAAGTTGTCATCCAATGTGTAATTACCTGAAGGCCACCCACAGCAGCTGCACCTCCGGGCTTGAAGGTGAGAATAAGGCGTCCTGCAACAAGCAGTATCATCAGATCTCACTGAGTACTTACGTCATCGTTGGAGGCTGTTGAAGGCTGCCCTGCTTGCTGCGAGGAGGGTCACGGACGTCTGCTGTCATGAACCCTTATGACAACGTCCCACCATGTCCCACCCATCAGGTGTAGAGTTCTCACTCCTGCGCACCCGCCAGCACAGAGGCACGATCCCTCGGAGCCTCGGATGTGTTGCCGACTGCGATTACTTCAAGTGTATTTTGCAAATTAACAACAAAGGACATTTCGACACGTTGTGGGGACTGTTAAAGCAGCTAAGAGCATCGCGGCTTCACTGGCTTCATCCTTGGAGTACACCGAGACCTTGCCATCTCGCCTTGTTTGCAATATCGTGGACAACATCGCATGCTGCGCCTGCTGTTCCAGTTTCAGTGCTGCTGAAGGTACTTGCAACATCTTGCAACGGCGCAGCGTGATACTTCACTTAAACTTACATTTACCCATGTACTTTGGCGATCTAAGCTTGGCGCATGAGTCCGGAGCTTTCTTGCCTGAACCACACAAGAACCGAGAAGCGAGGTGCTTGCCCATACTTCCGCGGTCTAACGGTCGGGCACTGGAAGCTCAATTCTATCAGCAAGGAATCACTTAGATAATTCTGGCACGGAAGATAGGCTGAGGCTGAGGCTTGGACTGAAGCGCTTTGTCTTCAGCGGAAGCAGCAGCAGTTCGCAGCGCAAAACGATTCTGCAACTGCGGAGTTCTAATAGGAAGGATTTACTTGCATGCTGGAGCCTCGCAGCCAAGTTAGCTTGGAAGCTCCAGCGTGTACGTGAGTTCGCGGTGCATGGGATTTGGCTGTATCATGATCTGCGGCCGGTTTGACCACTTAGCGATGACGACAGGGATGCGTGCCTACAGTCGTAGAGTTGCTGTTGGTCTGGCTGCAAGATGACAGAAAGCGTAGATTGAAAGAGCTTGGCAGGCGATCGGTGCTTCAGCCAAACCGGGCTGCAATCCATGTTGCCGGACTTGCTCGATTCAGCGATCCACAACACTGCATCTCAAGGCGGGCCGAATGACTGCCGATCTGCCGTGATCTGTCGCCGCAGTATGCCGTTCGCACAGCCCCGTCTGCCTTCAAGCCTAGATCCTATGGGACCATGGTGTAAACCTTAGACTCTAAACCAAAAGACCGGAAAGTCAGGGATCCGGACCCTGGCCCGGAGCGGGAAAGCAGTCCGGGCCAGACCTGGCAAGCACAGCACCACGACTTCAAAAACAAAGGGAGCCAACTCCTATGTTGAAGACTTGTATTACATTATCGTAATTAGAGCATATCATAGTATGTTATAGTGTGTTTTAGTATGTAATGGTATGTAATATCGTTTGCTACAGTACATCACAGAGCCTAACATTATATTATATTATATATCATATTCTATTCAATTCCATTATACTGTACATTACTATACTATGCTATACTGTACTATACCATACTATACTATGCTATGCTATGCTATTTTGCACTTGTACATTATAACACGATATGCATATGTATATTATATATATATACATATACACATATTGTTTTACTTTATAGCATATTAATGTCCATTTTCGGCCACCCACCCAAGAATTCCAGAGCCCCAAAGCCGAGCACGTGTCGGGCAGACATTCCTTCTGTAGATCTCAGAGAAGGCCTCTGCCTGACCGGAAACCATAACACTACGGCCTCACCCATCTGTCTATACCATAAAATAACATAGTGTAATACAGTATGTTAATTATAATAGTAAATATAAGAAGCGTTCAAACCTGAAACTGAATAACAAACAACCAAAGCCTGCTTTACCTCAGGCCAATCAGGTCTTGGCTGCTTCTTGCTAGCGTGTCACAGCCTCGGTGTGTGTGTGTGTGTCTGCGCATGTCACTATCTGCAAAACAGAACTGCCGGCTCCATGCTGTGGCATTGGCCTTCGACAGGGCCGTTCCAGTGTCCTGCTTGGCAAAAGTGAAGGCTTGCCGAGCACATCTTGCGGCGCGCCCGACACCAAGTGGCGCCTAGAATTGCAAAGCCTCCTTGCTGTAGGGACGCCCGATATCCTCACTCATGTGAGACATGCTCAAAACTCCGGTCCTCTGTTTTGGCTGCCTGTGCTGGATCCGGGCCATTTCTTTGTGCCTGCACCCACGTCCGAGCATTCTGGACATGTCTGGACACGGAACTGCACACACAGTTTCACAGCAAACGATGGATGTCCAGTAATTATAAATGAAACATGCACCTCTGCTCCAGCCGGCGCCACAGTGGCAAGATTGAACAATGGCCTTGAGGTTGGCATGCTCTTTCTGATCTCCCCTTCTCAGGTATGCGGCTGTCGGTTGTCATCGGCTCTCCCCAAAACTGCGAAACAGCCCTTGCGCTTGGAAACTATCTGCGGCGATAGTTGCATGACATGCAAGGAGCATGTTTTATTCTGAGTGTTCAACGCTGTCTTTCGCTAAAGCTGGGGCTTCGACTTGGCAGCTGAGGCTTTGGCACCTGCATCTCAGCAACATGCTGTGTATACTGTACGAGACAGATAGACTCATAGGTAGATAGACAGGTAGATAGATAGGTAGATAGATAGACGGACATCGGTTTTTTACACTGCATGTGTGTGTAGATATGTGTATATGAGTATGTATATATATATGCGTGTGTGTGCGCGTATACGCACCACATATACTACACATGCTACATATACGGTATATACTATACTATATATTGTCTATATATATATATACATATATATGGCCACCCCCACACACACACACACACCCGCATGTGTATATATATATATACATACATACATACATACATACATACATACATACATATATAGCTATATACACAGTATCTATAGTGTACATTTATAGATAGTGTATGTAGTATGCATAACAATAATTAGAGTACATATTTGTCTGTGTGCTTTGCGAAGCCTCTTTGACAGGTGCCAAGCAAGGAACAGCAAGTCCTGCCTGCCAGCGTTGTGGGCACCCAGAAGGATTCCCAATAAACCCAAGCCCTCCTGCCAAGTGTGCAAGTCCAAGCAAACTGACTCGAGTTTGGTTGGTGACGTTTTGTCTGGGGCCCCTTCTTCTGAGCTGCGAGCAAGAAGGCCAGCATGCCTAGCTCCTAGCATCGATAAATTGTAGGCCTGGAAGAAGCGGGGTGTCCTGTCAAACTCCTTGCGCTGGTAGAGGTCAGCAAGAGGGCCGACCCTTGCCCCGATCCTGGCCGCACACTTTCCTATACTATACAAGACTAGACTATACTATACTATACTACAATTTACTTTACTTGACCATACTATACTGTACGGTACTAGACTATACTATCCCATCACATAAGAACCCTGGCATGGCCATGGTTAGTTAAAGATCGCATCTGCGGCCCCCCATCAGCACCTCCCTGGGCTCAAGGAGTCGCCGGTGCAGACCTGCTGAACCTCTCGCCCGGAATGAATATATATATATATGTTTATCTATATTTGTTTATGTATTTTATCTATTTTTTATCTATTTATCTATGCGGTCAGCACTCAGTTCAAACTCCGTCGGCTGCAAGTGTCTCATAGCTGCGCATGCACTACGCCGGGTCGCATGCATTGAAAGGAGACGAGTCGCCAGGCTGCCTCGCGTAAGCCGACTCTGGAGACAAGCCCCTCTATATAAATATACATATGTGTAAATTTTCATATGTTTGCTTTAATATTGGTTTACTGGTTTATCTATCTATCTCTTTGTTTGCTTATATAAAAATAACATCTATATATATATACATACATACATATATGCATATTCATTTCTACATGGTCCGCCCGATTCTTTCATCTACTCAGACAGGTGTAATGAGCGAGGAATCGAGCGATCACAACTCGGGTGGGCAGGAGGCCCTCTTTTCCTACCGGACCTCTACGGCAGATGGACGCGTGCGGAGAGATATGAACATTTCAGGAATTTCATACTGGTGCCAGCATGGCAATTTTGAAGCGAGACCTACAAGAAACCATATCCCATCTAACTGTCAGTACATGGAAGCAGCTGTGGCTTGCCGCGCTGTCTCTACTGATCAGACATGCCTGTAGCCGGCATCGACAACATCTCCCAGCTGCCGCCACACAGCAACCTGCGACCAAACTTGACATGCGCTTCAGCAGCTGTAGCATCACACCACAACCAAAAAACTGCCGTCAGTATGCAGGCTGAAAAGAAAGCCAGGAAGGAAAAGCTGAAGTTGCACAAGTACAGCGTCGGAAGGAGTCTCTCGTTCCCGCGTTTTGGTCCGCACCAATTACGTAGATGCATGTATGTCACGGTTTGCCAGGATTTGTGGCGACATGTTTGTCGAGCCTCTTGCAAGTAGTATGTGCCATTACACCATGAAAATGGAAGGTGCCTACAAGTTTGACGGCTGTCAGTCTGTCGTTGCCATGCTCGGGCTTTCTTAGACGGATTGGATGAATGGGATAGCCACACCGAGTGGGAGCACACAACCGTCGAACAAAATGAAATGCATCGTTTGTCCCAAGGACCGATGCATGGAGAAGATGGAGAAGAGAGTTCAACGAAAGGCAGCAAGAAACCTGTAAAAGGCGGAAGAAAGTAGGGAGCACGCTGTGGCAGGCGTGTGCGAAGGCCACGGTTGGTCAGCTGTAGTTCGGCGGCAGGAGGCCTGGATGGTGTCCTCGTGGGGAGCTGTGAAAGCATAGAACTCCACACCCTGGCAGGCAGCGGTTTTGGTGTGCTAGGGGTCAACCATCCGCCTCGTCATCATCCTCCTCACCATCATCATCTCCATTACGTCATAAGGGGAAGAGGAGCAGCAAGAGAGTTCGGAGTGGTGCTGCTGGCGGTGGTCGTTGTCGTAGTAGTAGTTGTAGCAATGGTGGCATCGGCAGTGGTCGTCCTCCTCCTTCCTCCAACCTCCCCCTCCTCCCATTCCTACTCGTCCTCGTGGTCGTAATCGAAAAGTAGCAGCTGCGGCAGCAGTAGCAGCAGTATCAGCAGCAGTCATTGTCACGATTTTCGCGATGGCACTGGGCAAGTGCAATAGTGATTGTAGTGGCTTTGCCAGAAGCTAGAAGAGGCACTTGCAGTACTCGGAGCGCATATACACACTGCCATAAAGAAGCAGACTTTCGTTGGCCAGGCCGGCGCACCCGCAATTTCACCACACGACTGCCGGCAAGAGGGCGCGGGTATCCAACGAAGACGAAGCAACCAGGCTGCCTGCGAAGCGATGTGTCTCAAAGCAAGTCCGCAAGCTGACAAACCATTCTCAGATGATGCCAGATGCACTTGTTGAGGAAGCTCAGCCAGCCTCGCTACCGGCCGGTGAAGCACCTGAGCCAGGGGTGAATCCAGCATGGAAGTGCCAGGAGCACACTGATCAGAGAGTCCGAGGCCTCCAGCGTGCAGCCGTCAGGCCCGTTCCTCACGTGGACCACCAGGACCTCAGCAACAGCATCCAAGCAAGGTGGAACCTTGCATGATCGACGACGCCTACTCTCCTTGGGTGTGGTCAGCACCAGCAATTAACATAAAAGCACAGCTTTAAGAGAAGTCTGAAGCTCCAGCTTCTTGACCAAGCACCCAGGGGCCCAGCTGGTGGGTGTCGCAGAGATCGCCTGGCCACAGAGGCGTCACTTGCTCAGCTTCGAAACAAGCTTTGGCTGCTGCCCACCATTTTTTTGCATCAGCTCTTCTCGTCAGGCTTCATCCGTCGTAGCTCAGTCGCTTGCGGCCTTCCTCGGAAGTTCACAAACCTGGGCTCGTTGAGTCAAGATCAGCTCTCTTTCCCCCGTGTACTGGGCCACACAAGGACCACAAGCATGCACCTAGGTAGACGCATGCGGCTGCCTGCGCATTTTGCTATTCGAGACTTGAGAACATGTGATCTCTGCTGCAGTTGCGAAGATGGCTCCAGGTCGGCAAACAAGCGGCACTGCAAAGGTGACCTCATCACCTTTCTTGAAGTGCCTGCTCCGACAAGAACGCTCAAGTCTGCTCGGCCTGCCCGGGCGGACGGGTGCCCTGCCTTCTCTGGCTGTCGTGCAGGAACACGCCGTCTTGGCCCGGAAACTTGAGCCGGACCTCGCAACAGGAACTTTGAATGCGTCAACTGTCTGACATGTTCAGCTGCCCGCCTCCTCGCATTCAATTAAGCCATGGCCTTTCGAGTCCCACCATAATCGGATCTTGCCTGCACAAAGGCTGCAGACGACTCCCGCATCGTTGGCACTTAGAAGGAACACTGTCCCGCAGCCGTGCTGCCAAGTTTAGAGAATCTGCTGCTACTTGCTGCGATCTCGGTAGCATCCTGTCATCTAACACAAACAGATGAGAGATGCCAGCAGCACGAATGTTGCATAATGCAATCAGTCAGATGTCTTGTTGACCTGGAACGAAGTTACAGGAAGGCAGTGGACCGGGGCGGCCATGCCACTGCTTAAGTCGGAGCGATTGGCGAAAGGACGAACGATGAGTTAACGAGAAAGACAACTGAGTGAACCACGTAGTATGACGTCTGACAATGGATCCACGTAACCTGGTATCTCTCTCACGACCTCCTTGCACTCGGAAGCTGACAGTGGCAACTTACACACGGCTGCAACCTTCGGCCACTGGGAGTCCACACGGCCCAAACTTTCAGACTCTCACGGCTGCATGCAATCTACGCCGAACTCAAAGCTGTCGCATGAGACTCGTCGGACTGGGGTCGAGATCCAAGACGAACTACATCCGATGCGGTACTGTAGAAAAAAGGTATAATATGTAGTAGCAGAGTAGCAGCCGTCATAATAATAATAATAATACTAATAATAATATTAATAATCATCTATTGCCGATTCCCTCAACCTCAAGCTCCAGTGCGCGACAAAACTGGCGATGAAAACACGACCATCCAACTTCCCGATCTCGCTCCGCTCTCTTTGGCAGCTCTGGGGGAGCCCACGATTCCTCATGATCCCTATGACAGCTGCCGCGTTTTGGAGACGAGTCAGGGACGTTTGCAAGCTTCCAGAATGACATCGGCAAAAGCCGCCTCCGTCACACAAGTCTGGAACAGTTGCAATTTGCGCGATGCTCCGGTACGATTTATGAAGCCTGGTGGCACTGCTGCCAACTTTACCCTATCCCGCCAACCAACTGTGGAACGAAAACCCTCCTGAAGAGCACTCAGAAAATGAACGCGAAGGCCTTCGAACCGTTTGTCGGTGACCCCGGGAATCCTCAGCTGTGCTGTGGAAGCAAGGTGCTGCTACCGATCCTGCCGCGCGCACGGCTTGCAGCCTGTAGTCGAAGGATCGGCACACTCACAGGTGCCTAAACATGCCCAACCTCTGTCTCCGATATTTTTCGGCATCATCAGGCTCTAGAGCAGGCCCCATTCCCGATCAGGCAAGGGTCTGGTCCGCATCCGGAGGGCGGTAGTTTGGGTGGCCGACTGTCGACGAGGGGCCTTGGAGAAAACCGGGGCGAACATCACATCTTGGAGATACCCTCGCAGATGACTTAGGATCCAAGGCATGTGCTAGGTGCACGCATCGCAATACGGTCCAAGCTTGATTTTTGCATACCCCTCAAAATGCACGCTCCAACCAAAGCCACACATTATGCACCCAAGGGGCCTGGAGGGACGTCGACCTCCTGTGCTATGAGGTTCGGCAGAGATGAGTGATCATGTTATGCTTTTTGGTGTGAACATCTCCGTACCCATTGCCCCCGCATGACTCCAAGTATGGAGGCAGAATGCCTGCTATCGAACCTGCGGCCGTGCTCAGTCATTTGAGTGCTCCTTCGCTGCTACTATCACGTCGACACTGCTGCGTACTGCCAGCTGATTAGAGAGACATTGGACATGAGGACGGCCACATCAAGACACGGCGACCTACAAATGAGACCTTCCTACTGCCACAGCACTGCCGACTGCAGGAACTTCAACCACTCTGCCGAATTCATGTGTGCGCTGTCCCTGACACTTGTAGCACCGCGGATCTTCAGCAAATTCCCTGAGTAATGCGTTTACAGATCATCCTGCTTCCTACCGTGAAGTGCACCTGACAACTGTGCAATGCACTAAGCCGCCAATCTTCTTCTCCACCCTGCGCGGCTCCTCTTCCTCCTCCGCGGCCTGCGCCCCCGTCGCCATCAGGGCCATGGGATCGAAGCTGGGCACCGATGGCACTCCAGGCACCCCGGGCACTGCAGGCACACCGCCGGCGCCCATCATGTTGAACCTCACATAAGCTCTGTGGCTTTGTGTGTTAACCCAGATTCTGCTCCAAAGGATGCTTGGGCTGGCAGCTTGTAGTTTAGTTGGTACAGTAGGCAGGTAGGTACTGCACCGAAGCGAACTGACCAGACAATGGGCATGCTACAGGTGCGTGGGGTCACCCTGAACCCTCTGAATTTCTAGCCACGATGCATGTTGCCCATCATCATCCCCATGCCAACCATCCTCAGCAATGCAGCATGCACCTACCATGCAGCAAGCGTGCCTTGTGACTTTCTGCAGGTCCAGGCACTGCTGCATCTGCTGCATTTGCATCATTTGCATCTGCTGCATCTGCAGCATTGGATTCACCATACACGGTCCCGTCGCGCAAGGGCCCATGCCTGGGCAGGAAATGGCGCAACGACGGGAATCGAAGGCGCATGTGGATGTGGACTAAGGTTTACGGTGGACTAAGGTCTAGTTTAGCCAGCATGCAAGGCCCGCAGGGCGGACACGGCGCCCCTGGACTGCCCGGCAGCCCGAGACCGGCAGGTGTGCCGTTTGCAGGTAGGGCAGGTAGCTGGGCAGGGACACCGCCGCATGGGGCCACCGCCTCATGGAGTAAATCAATAGCTGAAACCACATGACATGCTATGAACACCGCCTTGTGTGTTCCGGCCTCAGCACTTTCTGCTGCATCGCCTGCGAAGACCTTGGGTAAATTCATTGACTCCTGCTGTGCAGACCAAGGTGGGCATAGACGTAGCGTGATCCGGGAGTCCCAGCCTCAGCATTGCCCTTGCCACTACCTGAGCCACGGGTTCGGTCCACTTACTGAGATGCTTGTTGGATATGTGTATGGGAATGTACGGGAGCATGACTGGTTGAGTGCGCTCTCCATGTGCTACTTGAAACACAATGCTCGACATCTTGAGACGTGCAGTGAGCTTGAGCAGCGTGGCGAGATGCGCTCATATCGCATTTCACATCTGGATGCTGCAACATGCTCCTTACAGTCCTTACATGCCGGTGCCTTGGGGACTTCTGCTTCGTTCGCGGCCGTTGCTCCCAGAGCCACAAGCTCCGTTCCTGCGACACGAACTGGAGTTGGCCAAATCTCTCCCAAGATGTCCCAAGCACAAATCAAATTACATTATATTACATTATATTATACAAAATATATCATATATTATATATTATATATTATATATTATATATTATATATTATCATATATTACACTATATTGCATTATATTATACTATAGTATATTAAGTGAGTCAGAGAGTTCCACTGTGCGAAGCGTTTCACGAGGGGTTTGAGGTGCCTGGCTGTGCCTGGATCCGTGGCCATGGCTTCTCGGGCAGCGGTGCTGTAAGTTCCACTATGAAGCTGCATGGTCCAAGAAGTCATGGTACCGCTCTGGCCGATTTTGCGGCACAGCAAACTGGATCCCTATACTCTATACTTCAGAGGTGATAATCGGGTACCATGCGTGCTTTAGACATGATTCGCAGGCACAAGAATGTCACTACACGCCACTGCCTGCAACTACGGATCTTTCAACATCCAAGTAACATGATTGCTGAAGTGTGGTTGGCTTTTTCATTCCAACCATTATCCGCTATCCAGCCTGTAAGCTTGAGACAGGGGAGAGAAAGCATGTTTTGCCCGACCCACGCGGGTGCATCAGACATACCGCGCTGACTTCGTTCCATCTTCGTTCCCTTGTGCCTCTCACGTCGCCACCCCTCACGGCGCCCAGTGCAACAGACACACGGGCCGAGGCGGCCTAGCGAGGAGCACAGACGTCAATGGGGAACCATGATTCAGCGCAAGCGGCTATGCCGAAACGTCGTAAAGCAGCAGCTGCTGAAGCATGCATGAGGCACAGTTGAATCGCCGGGCTTGCTCTTCCGAGCTGCATTCCAGCCCAATCAACTTCAAGCCAGAGGTAACCAGAGGTCCAAAGCTTGTCCAAAACGTGCTGTGAGGGCTGACACCTCGAGGGGCACGCTGATGGCCGCCACGGCTAGGAAGCCTCGGGTCCAGGAAAAGAGAAGAAGAAGCCAAGGTGTCTTTCTTGCGAGTGCTCAAGATGACAAGGACTATTCGAAGCCCCCCCCCCCCTCCACAAAAAAAAAAACAACACTACAGCGCAACTCCATCTATCAACCCTAGAAAAGAATCTGGCGAGCACCTCGGTAAGGCGTTGACATGCTCACCGCGGCTCATGTCGAAAATCATGGATCAGCATTTTGACATGATAGCGAAGAGTGATTGCTGGCTGCAGGTTAAGCCTGTCCGGACATGGCCTGCAAACATCTCACCTGAAGTAGCCCGGAGTAATCCTGCCATCTGGGATGTTTTCAGCATCAACGAAACTTCCGGCTCTGTCTTGACATGCGAGCGTCTTCCCCATCCCCTACTCGCTTGATGGCTCCGGAAACTTCACGGTGATTCAACCCTAAACCCCTCAACCCTGCCCCCCGAACCCTTGACTGCAGCACGGGCCAAGTTTCGGCTTGCGGCCCAAGCAAGTGCAATGCAGCACACAACCGTCAGCGGAAAGAGATGCACTTGGAATCCTAGAACAGCTGTTTTTTCTCCATGTCTTTGCATGTCTAGCCGCAGACTGTCTGAGCTGCGCGATATTTTGCGCAGCTGTTCGACATGTAAGCGTGCGGCACTAAAGCACTGAAGCCTTCGCCACAAAGCTTTCATGCTTACCCTCATGTGCCCTGAAGCCCCAGGCCCTGGCCCTGTGTCAGATCGGTGCTGCATGACTGGCTGCCTCAGATTCGAATTGGGTTTCTTCCCATTGCCGTGCTGCCGAGGCCCCGGAGTCCCAACCTCAGGCGAGTGCCAACACTGCGCCTAGAAATGGAGGGTACATGTGCATTTGTGTGTGTGTGTATGTATATGTATATGTATATGTATATGTATATGTATATGTATATGTATATGTATATGTATATGTATATGTATGTGTGTATGTATGTATGTATGTATGTATGTGTGTGTATGGATGTACATGTATGTATGTGTATGTACATGAATGTAAGTGTATGTATATGTATGTATATGTATGCATATGTATGTATGTATATATATATATATAGATTGAGTATTTATTCATTTATGTATGCGTATGTATGTATATACAGACTGTTACTCAATAGATACTATATATACTTTTAGGTTTCAGATGATTCTTGCTTTTGCGTTCCGTAACTTCGAGAGATGGCTCGCAATTGATGGTACCATGGTACATCATGGTACATCATGCATGGTGCCGTTTCCGTCAGATTGGAGCCATGCTGCTGCGGATTGTGTAGTTGCCTCTGTGAAGTTTGGGGGCCACTCTGATGTAGAACGAAACCGCTACAGCGCCTCACACGGAAAGTTCGTAAAGCCATGTAAGGGCTTCTCGCTGAAGCAAGGGACTTCTTGGCATCTTGAAACTCTCAGGTGCTCGCAAGCCCTTGCCATGGCCCGGGCTGTGGAGCTTCAACCAGGTCTTGTGTTCTTTCAAATATCTCTTCACCTCAAAATAACAAAAAACGGAGAAGCACCTCCTCTTTGGACTATTGCCGCTCCTCCTTAGGCCAGGACGTCCAACAAGGTCCAGTCGGGAGGCTGGCTGTGCTTCATGTCCGACGCCTCGCCTTTCGATCGCAAGGCCTGACCAGATGCATGCGCCCTCCCCTCTGCCACAGCCACAGAGCTTGGGGATGACTGTCTTCGAGGACCTTGCGCAAAAAGCGCCGATCGTGTATGATTTCTTACCTTCCACTTCTCAGAGAGACCTGTCGCCTGTATTCTTCTTGAGATGTCACCGTCCTTGCCCCTACCCCCCCCTCCCGCAATTCTGAGCAATTGAGCGCAGTGGGTCGATCGCAGAATGCTTAGCCACCGTCACATCAGGCTTGGTAAAGCTGTATCCATGTTTACAAAGAAGTCTACAAGTGCTTGTAATGCGTGTGTATCCAATATGTATGTGTATGGTAACCCCCCATGAACTACCGTCCGGCAGGTCCGGTTTCTGTATCTCTCAAAGACTACCAAAACCAAACCCACAATTCATTAGAACGTGCCAAACAACTCGTTCAGGTTTGACGTCAGCACCCACTCCACGGCAACACGGTGCTCTTCCAATCAAAAACAATTTTTCCTAAGGAACAACAGAAAACAAAAAACATTGTTTGCGAAACTATACAACCGAACTCCTAAAGTATTGCGTTTTTTGGTTTTCCCTAAGGAAAGTGGGTTTTACGCCGAAAAACCAACTTATTCATAAGAAACAGATGGCCTCGGATCGGAAAACCAACTTTTCCCTAGGAAAAAGATGGTTTTGGAGATGGCTTTGGATTGGAAGACCAACCTTTTCCTAGGAAAAAGATGGTTTTGGATCGGAAAACCAAGTTCCTAAGAAAAGCAAAACAAACTAGGCGGCGACTATCCCCAAAGCAAGCACAGCAGTGATTGCGTGACATGTGTATTTAGCAACGTGTTGGCGGGGATATAAGTGTAGGCAGACAAGTGCGTAATTCAAGTAGTGTAAGTAGTGCAAATAGTGCTGTACACATCGTTTTCACCTCGGCTCAGACTCTGGCAGCTTTCGGGAAAGGCCATCAGAGCAACGGCTGCGTGGCATATGTATTTGGCGTCGTGCTTGTGTGACTACTTCTAATAGCTTCATAGCCCGGGGTACATACCACTACCACTACCACTACCACTACGACTATTACTACTACTACTACTACTACTACTACTCCTGCTACTACTACTACTGCTACTACTACTACTACTACGACGACTACTGCTACTGCTATACAGCTACAGCTACAGCTACTGCTACTGCTACTGCTGCTGCTGCTGCTGCTACTGCTACTGATACTGCTCCTGCTACTGCTACTACTGCTGCTACTGCTACTGCTACAACTGCTGCTGCTGCTGCTGCTGCTGCTGCTACTACTTTACTACTACTACTACTACTACTACTACTACTACTACAGTACTACTACTACAGTACTACTACTACTACTACTACTACTACTACTGCTACTGCTACTGCCACTGCCATTACTGCTACTACCACTACCACTACCACTACCACCACCACCACCACCGCCACCACCACCACCACCACCACCACGACCACCACCACCACGACCACTGCGACTACTATTATTACCATACATACATACAGACAGACAGACAGGCAGACCGACCAAACTGACAGACAGACTGAACCGACAGACAAACAGACATGCATAAACATGCATCATAAACATGCGTGATAAACATGAACGCATGCATGTACAGACACATGCGTACATGCATACAAACATGCGCATACTTGTAATTAGATGGCAGCACTTTGAGTCTGTGGATAAACTGCCAATGACGCGCCGGCCTTGGCGAAGGTGTTGTAAATTCTTTCTTCCTCTGGATCGAACGACATGGTTCGATGACCTTGGCAGCTGGACAAGTCTGCGCGCTGGCCCGCATCTGGTTCAGGGTCTGGGGCTTGGGGCATACGGCTTCGTCCAAATGCAGCTAGTCAGCTAGTGCTTGCCTCCCTGACTAATTAACAGGACCTGAAGGCGCTGTACAAGTAGTTGGCAAGCGCATGCTCTAATGCCAAGATGCTCCAAGCCAGGCACAGCAGCACGAGCGCTACGGAATCAGTGTTCAGAACGTGCTCTGCCACCGTCTCCTGTCAATGTGTCAAAATGTCAGCCATGCTTGCCCTTGGTGTGCTGAGACATCTCTCCACCTACACGCAATGGTGAGCATGCATACTTGCGTTGTAAGCTTCAGCTGTCATATGCGCCGGAGTCGCTGCATGTGTGTGATTGATGTGGCCTGCTTGGTACAAAGCGGCACGAGAACAAACAAGAGCTGTGAAGGCTTACTGTTTGCCAGGATAGGCGCAGGTAGGGCCTGATGTCGTGGCGAGATGCGGGAGGGCTTCCATCGATACGTCTTCACTGATCACTGGGTCACAAAGCATTAGCACGAAGGTGACGTTGTCAAGCGTTGCTGGCACTTGCCGTGCTGGTTGTCGTGCTGTCGAAATCTTAAATTCCGAGCTTTTGTCAAAACTGCCCGCTACCAGAACCGAACTGTTACTCGGTCCTTGAATGACCGACCGTGCTTCTAAACATACAACTGGCTAGACTGTTGCGCTCGACGACCTGATACAAACCTGGCGCACACAGGCACACACACACACACAAGAGCTGCACTCAACGACCATGCACGTGTAAGCTCAGACCGAAAAGCAGGCTTGCAATCGACATGACGGTGTAAACTGTACAAAAGAGCCTTCAAAGACTTCGTCGGGTGGTTCAGCTGTGGTGCTCTTCTTCTTCTTAGCAGCCAAGAAGTCCGGGTCGTACGCACGATAGAGCAGCCTATTTTTCTCACACTGAGCTCAAGCCACCTGTAGTAGGTACAAGGTCAATTGTGTCTACTCAGCTAGCACTCTACACGCATCCTA